ACCGAACGTGTGACCCCACCAATGGATTGCTCTTCGAATGAGGAATCCATTGGTGGGGTCACACGTTCGGTTCCAGTCCTATTTAGCGTCTATAGTTTTGGCCGCCTTGCGCCGGTCTTCTAGCCCACTGCGCTCCGCCAAGTGCACGGCGGAACATGTTTGAACACTTCTTCAATTCTCCTCCCCTTTTCCCTTTCTCGTGCACCGCAAGCCCCCCGCCGCGCCGCCGCCCGACCCGCTTGGCGACTTTCCTCGGCATTCTCTGCCAGCAGAGGAGACCCGCCAAGCCCCCCACTCCCCCGCCGCGCTCTACACCGAGCCGCAGGCCAACGAACGCACGCTGATTCATCCTCTAAACGCACTACCAGCAGAGACAAAAAGGATCCGACATTCTGTTGACCCCGAGCGGGCGGCGAGGCGAGGCCTTCCATAAGCCTTCCATTAACCGAATGCCACCCACCACGAGCGCGGCCAAGCACGGCGCGGCACGGCGCGGCACGGCGGCGGCCCGGTGCGACCACAGGGGGCTTCTAATAACACTTGATGCCGGTGATTGGACATCGGGACGATCAGGAACACACACCGCGGCACCGCGGCGATGACACGCCGGAAAGCGCCGGAAACGGGCCGGCGGGGCGAACCCGTGCCGTCACCTCGTCACCTCCACTGCCGAACCGACGAGTCGGAGTCGAGTCGACTCCGACGCCATTCGGGCCCCATTCAGCGACTCTGCGGTCAAGGAAGAGCGTGCGCGGAACTCGGCGCGACTACTGGAGGACTTCGCCAGGCCGCCGGGCCGCCAGGCTGTCCCTTGGCGGCTCGCCGTGCTGTGCATGCGCTGCCCTTGCTGCCCTTGCCCGCGCAGCTTCTATTCCCGGAACGGCTCCGCTGGCCATACACTGGCTTGCACTGGCTGCACTCGATCCGCGTCCCGTCGCTGGACCACTGGACGTGCCGCACCACCGCACCCACACGATGCCAACGAAGTGACTCACATCGATCATTGTTCCACACACACTCACACACGCACGCATACACACACACACACACAAACACAGTGCGACACGTTTCAATAAATAATCCGAGCGCAGAATAATAAGAGTGCGGCTTCGGCGTTTTGTTATTGCCGTTGTTGTTGTCGGCAGTGTATCAGGGCAGGGAGCCGCTAATCGAAGCTCATTGGGCCCGCTACCCGATAGCAAGGCCGCGACGAGGTCCCCGGCAGGCCCTCCAGCAAGCACACTGATTCCGCCTCTCTCTCGCTCTCATGCGGCGTCCCGGACACGGGTGTGAGAGAGAGAGAGAGGTCATCAACGCGCTGCTCGGCGTGGCCGCGGGGAGCGCTTTCCTGGCAGAAATGCATCGCTTTGTGAAGGGAAGGGGCGCCGGCCGCTGCCTGGGGTCACTGCCAGGCGACTGCCGCCGCGAGTCCGAGGTGAACCCGCGGCCAACCCGCGGCCAACCCGCGGCCAACCCGCGGCCCACGGCCTGGCTCGCGCTGCCGTCCGACTAGCGGGGCAGGCGTGGCGTGGCGTGGCGTGGCACGGCAGGCGAGGCGCCGCGAGGCCCTCACACCTGTTGCCTGCATAGCAGGTACCGCTGCGCTGAGGCTGCGCTAAGGAAGGCTGCGCTAACGCTGCGCGCCGCGCCACCGCTCGCCCGGCCGGGCGGCCGCTAGATGGCGCGGCCCGGCACTGCCCCGCGCTGCCGGCCGACTGGACCAATCAGGGAAGAAAGCCGAGTGCTGAGTCCCCGTTGCCCCGTTGCCCCCGTGACATGACAGTGGCGGAGCCTCGGCCTCGGCTAAGCCTCGGCCCGGCCACTAGGCGCCCCGAACCCGAACCAGCAAGCACGGCAAGCGGGGCCTCGCCTTGGGCCTCGCCGTCGACGAGCGGAGAACAGTGAACACACCGCCACCCCGTTTTGACATCGTGAGCGACGACGACGCAGGACCGCACGGGCTGCATCCGAATGGGACACTCTCTCTCTGTCGCACTCGAGGGCGTCGCGTGGGGGCGCGAGGGAGGCAGAGACGCCGTTGGGGATCAGCCTGCAGGGCAGGCAGGGCAGGCGAGGCAGCGGCGCAGCGATCGGCACACGATGTCATCACGCGGGCAATTGAAAGCGCACGGCGTGGCTGGCGTGGCTGGCGTGGCAGGCCCGGCCCGTTGTTGGAGGCAATCTTTGATGAGCATTAGCGAATCGCTGCCATCAGTGGCCGATTGGCCAGCTGGCTGGCTGCTGGCTGGCTGGCTGGCGTTGGCTAGCATTGGCTTGCGGTCGCCCAGGGAAACAGTGTACCGTACGTACACCGTTGCACTCGGCCGTAGGACGCGGAGGCGCGGCCTTCGCTGTTCAAGCAGAGCCTCTCTCCGTCCCTCTCCATCCAGCTGCAAACAAAACAAAGCCAGTGCACGCACGCTCGCTCGCACGCACGCTCTCGTAGTCACACACGCACGGCGCGCACGGCGCGCACGGCGCCACCAGCGGCCGGACAGAGGCAGCTCGTTGAAAAGCACAACAAGTACATAACGAATATTTATGAGCAAAGCACTTTCTCCTAGGATGATGATTGGGAGATTCGGCCCGGCCTTCCTGGCGACGCGACGCGTGTCATTGCCTTCCATCCCCGCGCCACTCGTCGCTCGTCTCTCTCGCACTCGTGGGGCTCGCCGTGAGGGTGCGAGAGAGACAGAGAGACAGGCTTGACACCGCCGAGGCGGCGAGGCCAGGCCAGCCCCGACCCCCGACCCGAATCCGATGGGGGCGCGCCTCCTTCGGGCCTCCTTCGGGCCTCCTTCGGGCCTCCTTCGGGCCTCCTTAGCCAGCCAATCGGGCGCGGCCATCTCGCGGGAGTCGCTGACGCTATCCGCCCGGATCAGATTGCAGTGAGTGTGTGTGTGAGTGCGCGCCATGCGTCTGACAAGCAGTGCTGCCTACCTTGGGGCCGACAGCGCCGTTGCATCACACCAGCGGCGAAATGTACACAAACCTCTCTCACTTGCACCACTAGCAGCAGCGCCAGCAGCAGCGCGACGACGACAACAACGCGCGCGTTCACAAAAAAAGGACCAAGTGGGCTTGGCGGCGCTAATTGCAACACAGAGTCCCGAAACAGTCGTCGAAGTCTTCCGTGCGCCGCGGGGCGTTGCAGCGCGTCGCAGGTGCGCGGCCCGCCCTTCCCACCGCCGCCCTGCTTCAGCTTTTTGTCACGGAGGTGCTAACGGGGGGCGCCGGGGCACTGCCGCCGTGCCGCCGCCCACGCGTGCACGCATGGAGAAAGAGCAGTCGCCTTTCCCAGCCGGAATCCGGTGTTTGCTTGCTCCATCCCAACCAGTTCCTTCCTGGCCTCGCCAAATAAGGACCCACGATTCAAGAGGAAACTTTGAACCTATCTTTGATGACAACTGACGACTGAAGCCCTCAAAGATCACAATTTCTCAAACCTAGGATGTCTTTGGTCAATGAAATCCAGTTGAAGCAAAACAAACCCGAAACAAACCCAAACAACATGTTCCCAAAGGTAATACGCACGCGCAACGCTGCCGTACTTCCATTAACGCACTCCTTGCTGGCACGATTGTTACGCGAGCATCGGACCAGATCATTAAAAGCAGACGCATTTTTTTTAACGCACCGCCGGAGTAAGACAAGTCTTTGACACCTCTCCGCGGCACTCACAGCACTCACAGAGCAGCAGCAGCGCTTCGCCAGTGCCGCCCGCTTTCACTGCGCACTGCACACACACACACACACACACACACACACACACACACACACACACACACACACACACACACACACACACACACACACACACAGTGACACAGCCCCCGTGTTTGATCGGGGGTTCGAACCCCGGTGGGACCCGTAAGAAAGGCTGGTAATCAGGCTGGCCCCGATAAGCTCATTAATCATACCGGTGCGTGGGCCGTGGGGCCGTGGGTCCAGGCGGCCCTGCGCCCCGCCCTGGTCCGCCCTGGTCCGCCCTGGTCCGCCCTGCTCGCGGCGCCCTGCGCGTTGCGGCGTTGCGCAACACACTGCGTGCTCATGCTCCTTTAGAGACGAACACATTCAAAGTGGGCGCGGTCCATGTACGACTGCCGCCGCGCGCCGAGCGCCGCAACGCGACCGTAAACCCCAAATAAGCCGCTCTAGAAACTCCGCCTCGGATTTGTTATAGTACCTGCCGCATTGAGGGCGACGGCCACGACGACCGCGACGGCGTTGTGCGCGCGGGCAGCGCGGGCAGCCATAGGCCCGCATAGGCCACGCCGCCACGCCGCGAGCACGCTCCGCGCTCGCCGGCAGGTTGTCTCCGCGGGGTGCTCGGCGTGCTCGGCGTCGCTTGTTGCTGGGCGACGCGAGAGTGTTGCAGCGGGGCGGGGGCCGCGCGGGTTAGCCTATCCGGTGACTCAGTGCTGCACCGCTGACCCAAAGTAGTGCGGTGCTGTTGTTGTCGTTCACACGCGCACGTGGGCGTTTGGCTCGCTTCGTGTCGCGGCTTTGATTGCAATGACAAAGTATTGGCGCGCCGCGCTGAATCGGATCGACGAAAATGGCCATTCATTCCTTGCAGGTTTGTCGGTCCGTTTCGCAACGGGGAAGTGCGACGGCGACGCGGGCGACGCTCCGCGTGAGTGTCACCGAGTGTCACCACGCGCTGCCGCCGCCGCCGCCCCGCTACTGCTAATTACGGTGTTTAGCCGACACTCCCCCTTTAATCCTTTAATTCGGCCGCCTCGGTGGCTGTCTTGGCTTTCTCTGGATATTCACTTCGTCTCTCCGGATGAACCGAAGAGAAAAAAACAACAAAAAAAGAGGGCCGCTTGAGTGAGACTTCCTCGTGCCCAAAGTGGAGCGGCGCGAGACAGACGCGCGCCCTGCCGGCGGGGTCGTGAACCACGTCAACGCCACCGCGCGATTAGTAATAGCGTTAAAATTTCGCAAGTTTTGGCGGGAAACGACGAGAGTGTCGCTTGCCGCGCCAGACTACTCACCCGGCCGGGCGGGGTTCGGCTGCGGCGTTCCTCGCGCACGCGACGCGGCGGCTGCAACGACAAAGAAAACGGCTTCGCATTAGATGGAAGTCGGTGCGCCTCCCACACACAACTCGCAGTGCCACAGAAAAAAAAAACGCCGCTCGAAAGTTTGCAAAAATTTTACAAAAAACAAAACAATAACAGTAAAACACAAATTGAAATCCCGGGGGGGGGGAGCTACATTTTCAAAGCTGGCGTGAACTGCTCTTTCAAACATGCGACCTTGTCTCCGGGGTCCTTGCTGCTTTCCGCCACTCAGCGTCTCAGAGGCGCGGTGCTCGTGTGGCACACCCAGCCGGATTTCACCGCGTGCCATCCACTTCAAATCCTGGCACACTCTTTTCATTTTTGACGTTGCCTACCTTCGGCCAGGCTAACGGCCGGCCGGCCGGACGGACAGACGAGCTGGCAGGCAGGCGGGCCGGCCGAGCCGCTGCCACTCAGTGTTTTATCTCCGGGGTCAGGTCCTCGATCCACCCTGCGGACAGTGCGGTCCTTCCCTCTCGCTCGCTCCCGCTCTGAGCTCTCCAGCCCTCCGCGTCTCTCGCTCGCCGGCGAGCTGCGTGGTTCTCTTTCCGACGGCAAAATGGAATGGTGGAAAAAAGAGGAAGATTGTGGAGGGGGCGTGCAGGGCGTGCAGGCAGGCAGGCTTGCACCGAAGAGGGCCCGCAGGGCATTCTGCACTAGCGCGCACACACACACACACACACACGGCGCGGTGTTGCGCGATATGAAACTGTAGCGAAAAGCGCGCGCGGTTCGAATCATATTGGCGTTTTATTTTGAGCGCGGCTCGCCATCGGTGCAGCAGCATGCAGCAGGCCGCCAGCACTGCCGGCTGCCCCGTGGACGCGAACGACGGGCACGCCGAGAACGCCCCGAGCGAGACCGTCCCGTCCATCCCGTCCCGACTGTCCGTGAACCGGCCGACGGCCCCATTGGCTCTGCCAGGGCCTGCCGGCCTGCCGGGCTCAGCCCCAGCCCGACATGGCGTCCAGCGGACTGATTCCGAGAGTCGTTTTCGTCGCTCTGTCTCTCTCGCGCCTGCACGGAACGCCCCATGAGTGCGAGAGAGACAGCGCGATGAAAAGGACTCTCGGAATCGGTCTGCAGGAAAGCCGATCGGGTTGATGCGCCCGTGCAACGACCAAGGCCCCAGGCATTCTCGGCTCGAATCTCTTTTGTCATCTTTTCGGCTCCTCGCCCCACGTCGTCGTCGTCGTCGTCCACCCGTCGGCCCGGCTGTCCGTCGCCCGGCCGATGTGACAAAACGTCGACTTTACAACTTTATAGCCGTTTCGGGCTTGGGGCGAGGAGGCTGAGGACCACCTCCCGGTGACCACCGGGCGACGCGGCGACGCGGCGACGCTTAAGGCCCTACTTAACATTCCTCGCGCTCCGGCCGCGGCAGAGACGCGTATCTGCGGCGCCGAGGCCGCGGAGGGCGGCGACGACGGCCAGGTACGGCCGTGGCGGCGCGGCGGCCGAGTGGATGTGTCGCGGCGGTCCGTGCCGGCCGGACGGCCGGGCGACGCCGAGAGACCGTTTGGTCGCCGTCTCCGTCCCACTCGGCGGTCGAATCGCTGGGCGGACCGCGGTGCGAGAGAGACAGAGCGACCAAGCGACCCTCCGGCATCGGCCGGCCGAGGCGCGACAACGCGGTGGCAACATCCCAATCCCGTGAGCGGCATGGCGAGGCATGGCGCGGCATGGCGCGGCCGCCCGGGGATCCCTTATGACCGCGGCCGACCCGCGGGGACCCTCGCCGACCCTCGCCGACCCGCGGGGACCCTCGCCGACCCGCGGGGACCCTCGCCGACCCGCCGCGGGAACCGGAGACTCATTCCGGACCGCGTCGCTGTCTCTCTCGCACCGCGGGACGCCCAACGAGTGCGACAGAGACAGCGACGAAAAGCATACTGTTCGGAAGTGAGCCTCTCTCTGCTGCAGGGAGCCGTGGGGACCGCACACGGCTGCAAATTGGTCGGCGGGCAGCCCGGGGCGGGGCGGGGCGGGGCGGGGCGCTATCCCAGATAAAGTGCTGATGGAAACGTCTGAGGAAACGTCCTGCAGGACGGGGCGGCCGTAAAAGGGCTCGTTTTGTTGTTGTTGCGTGGAGGTGCTCGGCACCGTCGGCACCGTCGCGGACGCCCTGCACACCGAGGGCCGTCTTCGTCGCTCTGTCTCTCTCGCACCTAAACGGAACGCCCCGTGAGTGCGAGAGAGACAGAGCGACGAAGACGACTCTCGGAATCAGTGTACTGGCGGACGCCCTAACCGACAAGACGAGTATTTCAGCTTTTATTTCAGAGTAGAAGGAGCACGGGCGGCGCCAGGGCGACAACTTTCACGCCTCGGAAAGATTACAGGCAATGTGTCACAACGAGCAGAATCGCCATGCATGGGATGTATTGCGCGCTTTCCGTGCAGCGAAATGGACCCATCCTTCCACGTTTAGGAGTGAGTGAGTGAGTGAGTGAGTGAGTGAGTGAGTGAGTGAGTGAGTGAGTGAGTGAGTGAGTGAGTGAGTGAGTGAGTGAGTGAGTGAGTGAGTGAGTGAGTGAGTGCCCATTGGGTGGCAACGGGTGACGCGCCCGCACCCAATGCCCCATAAACAAGCTGAAATTCAGGGAAGCCGTTCCCGCCGAGCCGGACTCGGAAGCCGCGATGGGGATGCCGCGGTGCCGTGCCGTGCCGTGCCGTGCCGTGCCGTCCGCCGAGAGCGCGGCCTCGTCGCCGTGCGCTGACTCAGCGACTTGCTCTTATCGTCGCTAGCGATTCCCACGGTCGGGTCGGACCGGCACGAAAATACTATCGTCGGGAAGGGATTGATTCTTGGGATTTCGTCATTAAAAGACGCGTTCCAACAACGTCAACTTTTCACGGGTCGGGGTACCGATCCGCGGAATCGAACGCAGGACTAGTTCATGAGGAATGATTGCCGTGTCCACGCTGCACACTGCGCCAGAAGACCGGGCCCGGACGCGTTTTGGGCTCCAGAGTCGCTTAATTGGGACTCGAACCGAAAGAGTGACCCCACCAATGGATTGCTCTCTGGACAGGGAATGCATTGGCAGGGTAACACGTTCGGTTCGAGTCTTGTTGAGCGACTCTATAGTTCAAATCGCATCTAGAGTTTAGGCCGCCGGCGCCGGTCGTCTGGCCCACTGTGCGCAGCCTCGCCCACCGAGGAGGAGAGGTGCGACCCCCGGAGCGGCACCCGGGTGGCGCGTTCTGGCGGCGCTTTCTGGCGGCGCGCGCCGCAACTCGAGTGCGTTTCACACTCGGATACGCCGTTCTGCCGCCACGCCGCCCTGCCGCGAAGCGCGAGGCGCCGACATACCTTGGACGGTGGCCAGCGAGTCCCGTGGGAACAAGCAACCACCGCCCTGCCGGCCAGCCGGCCTGCCGGCCCTACCCTGACAGCCTGCACAGCACACACGCACGCACGCGCGCCGCACCCTGCCCAACCAAGGTCGGGGAAGCAGTAAAAGCCGGTCGATATAACGCCTCAGCAAGGAGCGCGCTGCTTGATGCGGCAGCCTTTTCTTGGCACACCGGAAGCCCTCCCTCCTTCTCCTCCCCGGAGAGCGCCGCCAACTTAACCCCGATGTGGATAGCCGGCCGGCCCCGCCGCCCTGCGGTCCAGCCGAGTCACTGCTAGTGCACTGCTAGTGCTCTCCTTTGTCCGCGCGTGCGTGTGTGTGAGTGTGTCCGAGTCTGTGTGTGTAACGGACTGCCTCGTGCCGTTGCGGCGTTGCAGTCGGAGTGACAGGTGTTTGGATCTAACGGAAGGCCCTGCCGGCCCTGCGTCCCAGCACAGCCCCAGCGCGGCCCGCTCTCCAAACGCAGCGAGATGACGTACGGCCGCGACCCGCGCGTCGTCCGCGTCGTCGTCTCCGCAGCCCGCCAGCACACTGAGAGTCGTGTTCGTCGCTCCGTCTCGCTCGCGCCAACACGGGACGTCCCATGAGTGCAAAGCCGGCCGTCGAAAACGCCTCTGGGAATCAGTGTGCGTCCCAGCCGAGCGCGGCGTGCGGAGCCTGCCCGAGCCTGCCGCGACATTCGCGCTTCGCGCCTCTTCACGCCGCAATCAAACCGCGTCTAAGGAGGGCGGTGCGCGCCGGGTATAAATCTTGCCGCCTTTGCCTCCGGACCGAGCAGCGAGCAGCGAGCCTGCAGGCGGATTACGGACACGCCGTCGCGCTGCCTCTCTCGCACTCGTCAGGGGGAGGTCGTACCGTCGCGCGCGTGCGAGAGAGACGGAGCGAGTTCGGGACCATGCGGGCCCTTCGCGGCGGCAAGCGGAGCGGGCACACGCACCGCACGGCCTACATGTGCTGCGGTGGCGCGCGGTGCGCTGCGCAAGGACCGGCCAGCCGGCCAGCGCCTTTGAGGTTTCGGACTCCCCGAACCAGCTCCGCACCGACTCCGAGAGTCAGCCTCGTCGTTCGGTCTCTCTCGCACTCATGGGGCGTGCCGTACAGAGAGGGACACAGCGACGAACGAGTCTGGGAATCAGGCTACAGGTAACCTGTCCGGCTCGGCGGTCGCTGTCGCGTTTCCTCGCAGTGCGGAGCGGCGGGCCTTGCAGGGCCTTGGCTGTGCCGCCCCACGGGGAGAGGGCGAGGCGCCGTGTCGCACCTTTCACCGCCGCCCCTACAGTGCAGGCAAACGGCGTGCGTGCCGAGTGGGTGAGGGCTATCTATCGCGTGGGCCGGCCGACACCGCACCGGCGGAGTCATCCGAACGGCGCTTTCGTGTCGCTCTATGCCCGCTCTGTCCCTCTCGCACGCACGGCACGGCCCGTGCGTGCGAGAGGGACAGAGCGACGAATCGGGCCGCCGGATCGCGCACTAAACCGGGATGACAAATTTCCGCGGAAGTGGCGGCGACCCACGGCGACCCTAATGGGTCGGCATTAGCCACCTTGTTATGGCACGGCCGGGCAGGACGCCCCAAGTCCGAAACTGGCTTTGCTCGGCTGGGCTCCGCGTGGCGAGCAGACCTGCCGGCCCGGCAGTGGCCCGGCAGTGGCCCGACCACCCCAAAGGCTGCCAGAGGCTGCCAAAGGCCTAAACCGTGTGCTACAAATTTGGGGCCTCCTTCAGGTCCAGGCCGGTCCCGTCGTGCCAGCGCGGCCAGCGCGGCCAGCGCCCACGACGTGGTCGTCGTCAGGCCCGGCCGCGCCAGGCGGCCAGCGCAGCGGGCAGCCGGGCGAACGCCAAGCGAAATCACTCAAAAGGCCCCAGCCGAGCCGCCGCCGCTTCCACGCGACTGCAGCTCCACCAGAAAAATCACTCGCACCGCGGAGACCGTGGGTCTCCCTCACGGTTGCGTCACGGTGTGTGCCGTGGAACGACACTCACACCTCAGGGAAACAACAACTTTGACTTTTGGGACACTTTTCAAATTTTATGCTTATTTTTTTCTGCCTGTTTTTTTTTTTCAGAATTTTGTGCGGCTTTTTCAGCATTTTTTTGCAGTATTTTTTTACCCCGAATCCTCCACCCATTGATTCACTTTTCAATTTCTAACCCTTTCTTGCACCACGCACTCATAACCATACTGCGACTACCGCGGCCAAATTTCCGAAAATTAATCTGAACGGAATGGGAAAGGCTTAGCCGCGAGCCACTATTGTGGCGGTTGCACAAGAGTGGCCCTGCCCTGCGCTGGGCTGGGCCTTCTGGGCTGCGGCGGCCGAGAGCGTGCGCCGCCCTGGCCAAAACGGCGCGGCACGGCGCGGCACGGCGCGGCACGCCACCACACAAGCAGCGTGACTTTTTGGAACGCGATCCGATCGGAGAGCGGGCTGAGCGGGCTGAGCGGGCTGAGCGGGCTGAGCGGACTGAACGAACGGCGTCCCTTTACTTTCGGAGCGCGGACGTGGCCGACGTGGCCGACGTGGCCGACGGCAACGCCAATCGGTCGCAATGCACTTCATGTCCTTGCGTAAGGCGCAGCGCGCAGCCAGCCAGTGCCAGGCAGCCGGAAGGACTTCCTTGGCGGTCCTCCAGCCGGGCCCAGTCAGCACTCCCAAAGACCGCAGACAGAGTCCCTCTCACGGGGCGCCCCGTACAGGTGCGAGAGAGACAGAGCGGCGCGTACGCCTCTCGGAATCAGTCTGCTGGGCTGTTGATTCCGGGACGGAGGAGAGCGCCATGGGATAGGACAAGAGGCGGACAGAAAAAATAGCTGACATATTCAGCGGAGCACTACACCAGAAATGGACAAAGGACGCCGGGAGGAGGCAAAACAAAGACGGCGGATTCGGAAAAGTTGTCGCGTCACGCGGAGCGGAGCGCGGAGCAGAGCGAAGCGTCATTACTGCCATTAGGGGCTTTCGATCTGCATGCCGCGCAATGGCACGGCACGGCATGGCACGGCACGGCGGGCCGCGGCGGGGGAGAAGTAAGGAAAAGAAGACGGCGAGAAAAAACGAGTGGGAAAAAGGAAAAATGCGCAGCGAGCACGAAGCAGTAAAGAGGGAAGGGCGAGCGCCTTGCCGCGCCTTGCCGCGCCTTACCGCGCCTTGCCGCGCCTTGCCGCGCCTTGCCCCGCCTTGCCGCGCCTTGCCGCGCCTTGCCGCGCCTTGCCGCGCCTTGCCGCGCCTTGCCGCGCCTTGCCGCGCCTTGCCGCGCCTTGCCGCGCCTTGCCGCGCCTTGCCGCGCCTTGCCGCGCCTTGCCGCGCCTTGCCGCGCCTTGCCGCGCCTTGCCGCGCCTTGCCGCGCCTTGCCGCGCCTTGCCGCGCCTTGCCGCGCCTTGCCGCGCCTTGCCGCGCCTTGCCGCGCCTTGCCGCGCCTTGCCGCGCCTTGCCGCGCCTTGCCGCGCCTTGCCGCGCCTTGCCCGGCCTGTGCGTGTCATCTCGAGGAAGATGAGTCGGATTGGACGCGGCTCGGCGCGGAACGGCGCGCCGCCTCGCGCACCGCGTCGCACCGCGTGCAGCGAAATTCGCGTAATAACTACTGTCGCTGCCCCGCACAGAGAGCGAGGACCTCTCACGTCACACACTCACACACACACACTCACACACTCGCCGTCACGTTTCTCCCTTTCAAATAAAGCTGGCGACGCAACAATGCCCGTGCTGAACGCGTAATAGACCACGGCGGGAAGGGCAGAGCGGCGGCGCTCGTGGCCGAAAACTTCATTGTCGGATTATTCTATTGAAAAGCTGATGAATCATTTTGGTGGCGATGTCGATTGTGTTCGTTGTTTCCAGTGTGCGACATGAATGCTCGGTCTCGGTACGGCGCTTGACTGCGCCGCCCGCCCTTGACTCTGGTCAGCACGGCACGGCACGGCACGGCACGGCACGGCACGGCCGGCACGGCGTCCTGGTCCAGACCGTGCAGGCCCAGGCGGCGCTGGCGGCACTGGCCTCTACATCGGCCGGACGCAGACAATGGAGCGCCGGGCTGTGTCGTCCTTTAAGCCCCTCGGCCACAAACAGTTCGTCGCGGAGCCGGAGGAAGGGAAAGAAAGAAAAACGACAAGCTTGAAACAAAAGCTTAGATAAACGCAAGCAGACGACACAAATTGTTCTGATTTTGCTGGTTTTCGCCTCTATGACTAGACCATGACGATGGCTTGGCAACTTGCGTGCAGCGCGGCGCGGCCAAAATGTGAAGATTGAGGAAGTTTCATTAAATTTGAAGGCTCTCTCTCTTGAGGGCTGCGATTGAGGAAGGGACAGCATGGTTCATACGGGGAAAGGGGATGGGGGACTGACACTGCAAAACAGCGTGGAGGCGGTCAAAATCCCAAACGCGTTCTTTGAGCGTCAGAGTCGCTAAATGTGACTCGAACCGATCGTGACCCCACCTATGGATTGCTCTCCGAACGAGGAATCTACTGGGCACGCTCGGTTCGAGTCCTGTTTTGCGGCTCTGGAGCTCAAAACGCGTCCGGGATTTCGACCGCCACCACCGGTCACCGGTCTTCTGGCCCACTGTGCGGCACCCCGCACGTATCGCGTCGTGACGAACGTGTTGAAACCGAAATGGGATACCCGGCCACGTCCAGCCTCGTCCAGCCTCGTCCAGCCGCGTCCTGCCAGGTCCTGCCGCTGCACCCGGCTTGTTCCGATTATCGTGACGCAACGCGCCGCGCGTGGGCGGGGTGGCGGCTGGTTAGTTTGGGCGGGGCGGGGCGGGGCGGCCTACTTGTGGTTTGCATAGCAATGCGTTGCCGACCGCGGCGGCGCGCGGACAGTCACAGTGCTGTAGCCTGTGATTTAATTAGGCTTGCTCGGATAATACTACGGACGGGGAGGACGCGGGCGACGCGGGCGGACGGCTCACCGAGGGTGTGACACTGCGCGACGCCGCGGCGGACACCGCGCGCTCGCCCGGATCGTGTGGGCCTGCCCGGCCTGCCCGGCCTGCCTCCTAGTGTTATGACAGCGATTATGGCTGCTTGGATGCGGTCACATGCAGCGGAACCTGCGGATCTCTGCGTGTGCGTGCGTGTGTGCGTGTGTGTGCGTGTGTGTGCGTGCGCGTGGGTGGCTGGGGCGCGATGGCCTGCAGCCCCGCGGGGTCCCTGGCCGTCTACGTGTCCCTGTGATTACCGCCCGCCCGGTGGGTCATCGGCTCCTTGATCATCCGTTGGGAAACGAGCACTTCCGGCTCGAACAATCGCCGCGCATTCTTTCGCAAACAAAGAGAGAGACAGAAAGACAACACGCGTGCAGAAACACAAACTGAAATCGGGCCGGGCGACTGCCTTGGCAGAGTAAGATGAAAAGAGGCACCTTATTACACTCGATGCCTTTCGCGAAGGGCCAGCTTGATCGTCCCGCGCCACGTATGGCAGGGGAAATTTCCCTCCGCCGCCCCGCCCCGCCCCGCCCCGCGGCCGCCTCCTCACACGTCTCGTTCTTTAGCGGTGGCGGTAATGAAAAATCCCCCTCCCCTCCGCCCTTTGCTGCCTTTTGCTGCAGACTGATTCCGCGCAGCGTTTCGTCTCTCTCGCACTCGCGGGGCGGCGGGGCGCTGCGCGCGGGTGCGAGAGAGACGGCGCGACGCCGCCTTCGCGGTGAGGAGCCCCGCGTGTCAGTCACGTCGGCGGCGCTCGGCGCGGCGCGGCGCGGCTCGGTGCGCGTCGCGGCCAACCTCAAAAAGGGCCTCGATGACCTTTGCCGGCGCGGCGGACGCGGCGGACGCGGCGCCGAAGCCGCGCGCTAATATTTCCCTTCCCTTTCTCAGGACCGGCGATCGACGCGGCGACGCGGCGACGCGGCAGTCGAAAAGAAAGGACGCGATCGGCGACAGCGAAAGGGACATTGTCTGGCTCTGGCGCCTTTTGTGTCCCGGCCGCCCGGCCCTTTGTCAAGGGCGACGCGGAGGAGGAGGAGGAGGAGGAGGAGGAGGAGACGTTTGGAACCACCGCCGCGCCGTGATGCCTCACCTTTGCAGGCCCCACCCTCCGGCGGCGGCCCCGGCGGCGCCAAGCCGCGGCCCGCCAGGCTTCCTGAAACAAAAAGCACAACAATGTTGTAGCAGCGCGCGGCACGGCGCGGCACGGCGCAGCGCCCTTCCCTTCGCCCTCGCGGCGCCTCGCGGCGGCCGGGCTTTCGACCTGCCGGCCGGCGGCGCGTCCACCGCGCTCTCGGCCTTCGTGGGCACGCCGGCGGTGCTGGCGGTGCTGGCGGAGTGCGGTGACTTTCTACCCGGGCGATATGTCAGGGCCGGCCTGGCCGGCTTGGCCCGGCCGGCACACTGGCGTAGGCGGTGCCGCGGTGCCGTGCCGGCGGTGCGCGTTGCGGCGCGTTGCGGCGGCCAGGCCATGGGGGCAGCAGACAGGTGCACGTCACATTTCATGCCCCGAGTCCCTGACGAGCATTAATCTCCGGGCCGCTTTCTAATACACGCGATCATATCGCCGGCCAATGCGGAACGCCGCCGACACGGCCGACGCCAACGCCGGGCGCAGCCCAAAGTATGCAAAACGAGCCGAGAGGCCCGACCCAACCTTATCTAGCGAGGGGCCGCGCGCGCCGTGCGGGCTGCACATTTCGTTTTTCGCCTTTCATCTGTTTTATCTACAACAATAAAGTTGGCGCGCAGGAGAGTGGCAGAACACCAGGGCAGCCCCCGGCCATCCGGTCCAGCGTGCACCAGCCGGACAGACGGACAGACAGACAGACAGACAGACAGACAGACAGACAGACAGACAGACAGACAGACAGACAGACAGACAGACAGACAGGCGTGTGGACGTTCTAACGTCGCTGCCTTGAATTGTGAAAGATAACAGTGCCGAGTCGACCCTTGAGGGCGGCAGGAGGCGGGAGTGGCGGGTTAATTCGGATCACGTCTTTCCATTCTCCTCCCGTGAGTGCACGCCTTGCCTCTGTGTGTGTGTGTGTGTGTGTGTGTGTTGTGTGTGTGTGAGAGTGTGTCGGAGAATGCAGACGGATATTTCGGCAGGGGAACCAGCAGGGAGTGGATTGGGGGGGGGGGGGAGGTGCAAAATGCAGGGCACGGCACCGCCCACCGCGTCCGTGTGTGTCATGCTGGCCACACCAATTAAGGGCCATGCAAATTAATGTGTGTGACTGTGTGAGTGTGTGTGTGAGTGAGAGAGTGGGCGGGTGTGAGTACGACTGTAATAGGAACCGGCGCGCGAGAGGCGGCGGCAGCGGTTTGCCGTGTTGTTCCTGTGCGTCCAAGCGTCTAAGTCTCCCCGGCGCTCGAGCAGTAAAAGCCGCGAATATGCATGTACACACATACACACACACACACACACACACACATACAGAGTCACACTCACACTCACTCCCACACTCGTCTCAGGCACCAGGTACCTCTGCCAGACGGCCGCCCTCCCCGCCCGGTTCGCCTTAAGCACCTCGCATGAAGCCCGCGGACCTGGTTGGACCCGGTGCCGGAAGTCGGCGTTGTTGCTGAGCATGATGGCCGTCATCGCGGTGCTGCGCGGTGCTGCGCGGTGCCCGTCGACGCGGTCCCCTTCCCTCGGCCGTAAACACGCCGACAAGTGGCCGGCGAGAGCGTGCGCGACGTCGGGACGGTTTGCCGACGGCCTGCCAGTGAACATGGACATGGCGCAGCCAGCCGCGTCGCACAGCTGCGTGGCGGGCCTGCCTACCTAGTCGGGCGCTCCAGCCCGCCTGCAGGGTAGGCCGCCGCGTCGCACAGCTGCGTGGCGGGCCTGCCTACCTAGTCGGGCGCTCCAGCCCGCCTGCAGGGTAGGCCGCCGCGTCGCACAGCTGCGTGGCGGGCCTGCCTACCTAGTCGGGCGCTCCAGCCCGCCTGCAGGGTAGGCCGCCGCGTCGCACAGCTGCGTGGCGGGCCTGCCTACCTAGTCGGGCGCTCCAGCCCGCCTGCAGGGTAGGCCGCCGCGTCGCACAGCTGCGTGGCGGGCCTGCCTACCTAGTCGGGCGCTCCAGCCCGCCTGCAGGGTAGGCCGCCGCGTCGCACAGCTGCGTGGCGGGCCTGCCTACCTAGTCGGGCGCTCCAGCCCGCCTGCAGGGTAGGCCGCCGCGTCGCACAGCTGCGTGGCGGGCCTGCCTACCTAGTCGGGCGCTCCAGCCCGCCTGCAGGGTAGGCCGCCGCGTCGCACAGCTGCGTGGCGGGCCTGCCTACCTAGTCGGGCGCTCCAGCCCGCCTGCAGGGTAGGCCGCCGCGTCGCACAGCTGCGTGGCGGGCCTGCCTACCTAGTCGGGCGCTCCAGCCCGCCTGCAGGGTAGGCCGCCGCGTCGCACAGCTGCGTGGCGGGCCTGCCTACCTAGTCGGGCGCTCCAGCCCGCCTGCAGGGTAGGCCGCCGCGTCGCACAGCTGCGTGGCGGGCCTGCCTACCTAGTCGGGCGCTCCAGCCCGCCTGCAGGGTAGGCCGCCGCGTCGCACAGCTGCGTGGCGGGCCTGCCTACCTAGTCGGGCGCTCCAGCCCGCCTGCAGGGTAGGCCGCCGCGTCGCACAGCTGCGTGGCGGGCCTGCCTACCTAGTCGGGCGCTCCAGCCCGCCTGCAGGGTAGGCCGCCGCGTCGCACAGCTGCGTGGCGGGCCTGCCTACCTAGTCGGGCGCTCCAGCCCGCCCGCGGGACCGCCCCGGAGCGCGGGGGGCCTGCCTACCTAGTCGGGCGCTCCAGCCCGCCTGCAGGGTAGGCCGCCGCGTCGCACACTGCGGCGGCCCGCCTACCATGGCGCCCACCCGCATGCAGTAGGCCCCCGTCGCACCTGCGTGCCGGGCCTGCCCACCTGTCGGGCGCTCCACATCCTCGGCCGCGGGGCGCGCAGGACGACGATGACGCCGACGACGTCGGCAGGACAGCAGGTGTGAGTGTGAGGTAACGAGGTAACGCACCGCCCTGCGCGCTGCCGGCCCTTGCCGGGCCGGCCCTGTTTGACCGGCCGCTCGGTTTCTTCACCTCGGCACGACGCCAAACGGACACGTCACACACCCAAAAACCACCACCACATCACGCGGGCAGCCTACTGGACCAATGTGCGCGTTGCCGGCCCTTGCCGGCCCAATGTTGGCGTCGATTCTCGGTCGCCGCTTCCCTCGACCCACACGGCGCGCTCGCCGGCGCGCCCAACAATTTCCTTTCCGCAGTGTGCCGCCCCGGGCGGGCCGGGCTGGCCGCTCGGGTTGGGGGGGAAGAGCCGGGGAGCCCCTGGGGCCACCCTCGGCCCCCGGCGCCCCCCCCCCCCTTTCCCCGGGAAAACAAGGCGTGTGTGGGGGCCGGTCACAATTTTCCTCCCGGGGCAGCCCCTGCCCCTGGTGGGGTGGTTTTGGGGGGGGTGAGTCCCTGTTTATTGGGCCAAAGGTTCGGAGAAAGGGGGCGTTTATGTCGCTCCGATGCCCCCGAGGTTATTGCGTGGAACCGTGTGAGTGTGAATTTGGAAAAGAAGAAAAGTAAGATGTTGGTTATTTGGTAAAAAAGCCTTTAACAAAGTCACGCAATTTCTTTTGACCAGTCCAGAGCTTTTCCCGCCCAAACTGCTGCAAGGAGCCAAAGCGGACTAACGGGGGTAGGCGCCGTGAATGGGTGCCGATTTTGGCAGCACACTGTCAACGGGCGCCGCGTTCTCCACGCTACTGCCGGGCTGCCCCGCCGGCCCGCTCGGGGTTATGACGTCTGCTGCTCCCCGGCCGGCACTGCGGGCCCTGCCCTGCCACTGCCGCCACCGGAGTAAAGTACGAAACGAATTCATTACGCCTCGCGAAGCGTCGGCGCCGTCGGCCTCCCCGTGCATCCGTAATGTGGGAGCGGGGCGAGGCAGGGCGAGGCGCGGCAGGAAGCAGCGGCGTGGATCTACGGCGGAGGCGTTATGGCGGCCCTTCCAGCGCCACTGCTAAAAAGAGAACAACATCCCTGTCCTCGCCTCCCTGGGTGTGTTTGCATAGTGTAAGGGCGCCGCTGGCCTACTCGCGGTGCCTCGCGACGGCCGCCGCGACCGCTGCCATACCACTGCTCGCGCGTCGCGCCTTTCGGATTCCAGACTGGGGCTCCGCGGATCCGCTTTCCGGGCTGGGCTCGGCTAGGCTGCTGCCTGGAACTGCTGGAACTCTGGAACCTGTCCCACGTAACCGGCGCGCACCCCGGCCCCCAAGCCGGCCCCGGCAAGGGCCCCGGCAAGGGCCCCGGCAAGGGCCCCGGCCCGGCGTCTCGGCCGGGGGCACGGCACGCAGCCCACGCAGATAGGCACGGGGATCGCCGCCGCCGTGGCGCGCAGTGCAGTGCAGTGAGCACCGGGTTGAGCCTCGCGGGGCCCTCGCCCCGGCCGGAGTCCCGTGCCCGTGCCGGGTCGCGGCGGCAGTGTGGCAGCAGAGCGATTCACGAGAGCGGTGCAGGTGCGTCGCTCTGTCTCCCTCCCGCCCGCACGGAGGGCACCGCGAGTGCGACAGAGACAGAGCGACGAAGCGACTAGTGGCCGCAGCCGCAGTGGCACTGCCACGCGGAAGCAGCCCCAATGCAGGGGGCCGAGGGGGCCCTCCGCGTCGCGGCGGCGCGGCGGCGCGCAGAGAGATGCACTGCCGCATCCAGGCGCCTGGCATTTCCGGGGAGTGTGTGTGTGTGTGAGTGTCTGCATGTATGCGTGCGAGGACCGTACTCCCACTCGGCGCGTAATAGGGGAGTCCAGGAGCCCGCTGGCCGGCCGCCGTCCCGTCGTGCATTGCGGTGCGCGGTTACCCTGTTGGTTACCCTGTGTCGGTTACCCTGTGTCGTTACCCCGTGTCGGTTACTCTGTCGGTTACCCTGTGTCGTTACCCCGTGTCGGCTTCCCTGTCGGGTACCCTGCGTCGGTTATCCTGTGTCGGTTACCCCGTCGGTTGTTACCCCGTCGGTCGGCTAATCTGTTGGTTGCCTTCGCCCTGTCGGTTACCCTGTGGGTTGCCCGGTCGGTTACCCTGTGTCGGTTACCCTGTCCGCGGCCACGGAGGAAGCCGAGGAGCCGGGAGCAGCGCAGGCCTGCCCGCCAGCGCGGCTGCCCAATAAAGATCCGA